AGAGAGAGAGAGAGAGAGAGAGAGAGAGAGAGAGAGAGAGAGAGAGAGAGCTATGAAATAGCTATACCAGTGAGGTAGGCAATTGCACTTCTATAATTTATTCCTAGGGAAATAATCATATATTCAAAGAGCTGCATAAAAGAAGAGTCATTGCAGTACTGTGTGTAATAAAAGCAAAGAAGATCAGTCAAATGTGCACTCTCCCACCCTGAGATCTAGTCAGGCACCACTCTGTCACTAACCTCTTCTGCCATCAGGTGGCACCAGAGAGCTGGAAGAGTTGTCATATCTATGCAGTCCAGCAGAGGGCAGCAATCCTCCACCAACGTCAACTCCAGACACATTGAATTTTTGCAGCGTCTTTTTCCTCCAGTTGCAGCTGTATCAATCCAGACACCTTGTCTGGCAGAAAAGGGAGATTTAAATGAAAGAGAATGGGAATGTATCAAGGTGCCCCCTATCCCCGCCCATACACAGCTAGCACTGTTCTCCGGGTTTATTAAGCCGCACCTCATTCCTCTTAACCCCACCATGGTCATGACTTTTCATAAAGTTAACAAAGTAGTGAACTCCTCACGGCCCGATGAGGCAGAGATAGTGGTGAAATTGGGTGCTGGGAAGTTAACTGACCCACAGAGGTCCCAAAGGTCCCACTGTTGGCAGAGCTGGAGCCACTGTTGGAATCAGGGTCTGATTTCCAATCTTGTCACTTAACCTGAGAACTCCAGCAGGGAGTGCATTGAGGGTTTGTGAGGACGTCTTGGGACTGTAGGAGTGTCGGCCAGTTTCTCCCAGTCCCACACCAGTTCCCAGGATAGCCAATGGTGTCCCTTTCTTCTCCTTGTCCCTCGAGAATCCCAGGAGTTTTGGGGGGGACTCTGTAACACCCATCAGATGTTTCCACCCCTTCTGAGACCCATAAGTATACACCTGTCTGGTCAGAGAGCCTTTATTGAGCATCTCCTAGATGCCAGACTTCCATTACAGAAGCCCACGCCTGCCCTCTACATGGGGGGCGGGGTGGATATATAAAATCAAGTGGGAAGAAAACCACAAGAACAACCTCGTGTGACTAGGCAACGCATGACTGGCACAGAATTTCTACCCAGTCAGCGAGAGCTTCCTGAAGTAGGGGGGGACTCCCCCACCACACCCCGTGCCTTGGGATTGAGTATGGTTTGGAGGATGGAGGAAGATACTGGCATGTGGCCTTGGCACGAGTGGGTGCTTCTGTGAGAACAAGGAGGTTATCAGGTTAGGTTGGGGGGTCCTGGAGAGGTGGTTGGGAGTTGGACCACCGGGGTAAATTGGAGCCTATTTTGAGACTCTTGAGCCCCATTAATGTTATAAGCAGGTAGCTCCCGATGGCTCCAAGCCATCAGAATGGAAGTGATCCCTGGGAAACTGTGTGTGCAGAGGAGACTGGTGGATGGCGCCTGTGGGGGCGGAGATAAAGGCCCACAGGCCACCAGCAGGGCTCTGTGTATCGGAAACACTGCCTAAGCTGCGGGTGTGACAGTTCCTCTCCCTCCCTTGGCCCCAGCAGGTCTGTGCATGGATCCCCTCCTCCAGTCTGATCTGTAGGAGTGACAGGCCGGCGGGGATGATGTAAGGCCAAGCTTCGTAAGGTTCCCTGGACTCAGCCTTCAGGGCAAAGCTACCTGGAAACCATTACATATATGACCTTTGTGTCATGGACATGGCAAAGGCAAAGCTGGCTAAGCTTAAGAGGTGTTGGGCCTGGGGTTAGTGAGAACATGGAGGACTCTGAGAACCCGCTGTCTCTCTAATCCAACAAGTGGAGAAAATTCCCAGAACTGTAGTAGTGTGGAGAGCTGAGCGCCATGTGTGACTTTCAGATTCGAAGATGGCAGGATTGAATTTTTAACGACTGTGGTCTTAGAGGTGATAGGCATCTCGGAGGCAGGGAACCCCATAGGAACCCACTAGCATCGCCAAGGTTCTGTCTCACCTGTTACCTGGGGTGGGGGTGCCGGCAAAGACTCAGAGGAAAGGTGGGGAGGACTGGAAGTGCTCCCTTCCAGCTCTGAGGTGTGGATGGAGGTGTGGACTGCACATCTGGCTCCCTCACCTGCCTGGGAATGGGGTGGTTTACATCGCCTAGGCCAGGTTAGGAGTCACACGTATTTCCCTGAAGACAAGCAGAGTCCTGCTCTGTCTCAGGCAACAGTAGCAGTGTCTGGGAGGACGGGGAGGGGCAAGCACCTCCTGGAGGTAGCCCAGGCTGGTGGGCTTGTTGAACCACTAAGGGAGAGACCGGAAATTGGGACCAGGAGCAAAGCAACACTGTAGCTCATGAGAATGAGGGAAAATTGTCACCCGCTCACACTCTCACATGCTCACACTCTCACATGTTCACACGCTCACACACTCACACACTTACATGTTCACATGCACACACGCTCACACACTTACATGTTCACGCGCACACACACCCACATGCTCACACTCACATGCTCACGCTCTCACACGCTTACATGTTTACACACTCACATGCTCACACGCTCACACACTCACACGCTCACACGCTCACACACTCACATGCTCACACACTCACACACTCACATGCTCATACACTTAAATGTTCACGCACACACACACCCACACACCCACACGTTCACACTCACATGCTCACACTCTCACACACTCGCGCTCACACACACTCACGCTCACACACTCACACACTCACATGTTCACATGCACCCACACCCACATACCCACATGTTTACACACTCACACACTCACACAGTTCTGTGTTCCCAGAAGATAAGACTGTCTGTGGACTCTGAGGAAAGAGAGCTTATAATGGAAAACTGCATGGCCTGGGGAGATGACTCAGTCAATAAAGTGCTTGCCTTGCAGGCATGAGGACCAGAAGCTGGTCCCAAGAATCCACATAAAAGCCCTCAGGTTTTTAATCCCAGCACTGGGGAGGCAGAAACAGGCAGATCCCTGGGTCTCACTGGTAAGCTAGCCTAGCTTATTCAGTTCCAACTCAATGACAGACCCTGTCTCAAAAACAAGATAGACAGCTCCTGTAGGAATGACAACCAGGGTTGAATAGGGTTGGTACATACGTGTACACACACATGTAAAGATACACATATGTATCTACACATGCAAAGATCCACATGTGTATCTACCCCTCTGCACATGGGCACACACATGCAAAGATCCACATGTGTATCTACCCCTCTGCACATGGGCACACATGTGCAAAGCCACGAAGGCTGCAGAGAAGGAAGAGGTGATGACATCATGATCAAGATCTCGGCCGTGCCTAAGTGAGGCCCCGAGACTCTGACAGGTTTGCGTGGCTATGAACAGCTCAGAGGCCATCTTCAAGAAGCCTAGGAGCTGTGTGACTCTGGTCCATCTGCTGAGATAGCATCTGAAGGGAACGGGATCATGGCCTAGTGAGACTCCTCAGTTAAAGGGTGATGAGGGGAGATGCACTATCTTGGTATCGTCAGGACAGGCTAGCTTGTGCTGCAGTAACAAGTGGCTCCCAGTCTCAGTGGCTGCTCTAAGGCTCATTTCTTTCCATTCCCACTGAAGACAGGGTACTCCATTTCCTGTGCTCCCTCAGAGTCTTGGTATCTGAATGTCACCAGCTTCTACGTCAGGGCAAGAAAACTCTCCAGGCCATATCTCTCTTTCTACTGAGACATTTCAGTCACCTAGCTGAAGCTGACGACGGATGTGTGGGAACACCTGGCAGGAAGACGCCAGCTCCGAGAATCTAAGTAAGGGAGGACTCCTCACACTCCTCCCTCTTTCTGAGCAATTGAGGGTGTTATTGGAGAAAGAAAGACAAGGTGTATCAGCACCCGGAGGAGACTAGTCGTGGCCTTCCTGCTGTTGACGTGTGCTTCAGGCTGGCCAGCTCCCATCTCTGGTATCAGGAGCCATATCCCAAGGGCTCTGTCTCTGAGGTGTCTTGCCAGCCTTGCATGTCCCTGCAGGTGACCTAGCCATGCCCCACGCTGACACCTGGGCCTGACAGGCAGACTAACTGAGAGGAGAGGCTCTGCAGGAAGTGGGCAGCAAAGGTGGGGTGGGAGCGCTTAGCCACCTCCATCCTCCCCTCCCACCACCCAGAGTGTGTATTCTCTCTCTCTCTTTCTTTCTCTCTCTCTCTCTCTCTCTCTCTCTCTCTCTCTCTCTCTCTCTCTCTCTCTGTCTCACACACACACACACACACACACACACACACACACACACGTCATTCCAGGCTAGTCCCAGTCCTAGCCCCTGCTCTCCACATCACGGAACATGCCCTCTGACCTCTCAAACATTTTGCAACTCCTCTCTTGGCACTAAACCCTTCTATTATTGGCTTCCAGCTTCCCAGTCCTGATCACAAAGTCTAGCCTCAAGACTCAATCCTCTCCCACATCTACCACTGAGCATGATCTTCTGTCTGTTTGGTTGGTTTTGATGAACAGTCTAGAACTTGCCATTGATCCCTTCAATGATCCTTGATGCCCAGCACCACAAGTCTGAACTTAGTGCCTTGCTGATAATCGGATATTCCTTATCCCCATCCTCAACCAACCTCCCCACACTTATTCAGCTCTGAGCACCCAGAACAATCCCTCACCACTTCCTTCATTCACTGGAATTACCAGCAGATGGCCTCTGAGTGTCTTTCAGAGTGACCTAGGATCCATCACAGCCTGGGAGTCCACAGCCTCTAGTCATTGGGCTTCCCTCCCTGTTACTGTCTCCCGCCCTCTTACTATCTCCCATAGCTTTTGCCCCAACCCCACAGCCCCAGGGCGGTCCATCTGCCTCTCTGGGACACCCTAGGATACCCAGGGTTCTATACTCCTGGTCTCTTCCCCACTCCCCCGTCTGACAGGGTGCTGTGAGCTTTCTCTTGCACTCATGGCCACTTCTACACCTCAGGACTTCAGCATGCACACACACAGCTAGCCTAAGGCTTGGCCATGTCACCTGCATGGGAAAATCCCCATACAAGGGGAGAGCCGATTAGACAGTGAATACCAGCGCAGACTCTAGGGTCCTCTCCTGCCTCCGACTCCATCTTGTCCAAGATTTACCCTTAGAGCTGCACCCCCTCCTCTAGCCTCCCTTCACTCTCGTCTTCCCGGAGGCCCCTCCTTGTTCTCTAATAGAAACTGAAAATTCTTCCGCAGTGAATGGAATTTCTGGCACAGGCGTCACCTTTCCATTTTATTAAATCCAGAAAAGAGCTCTTCCTTCCTAGCCCCCCACCATCTTCTTGATGTCTTGAAGTCTAAGGTTGCTGGGCCACGGGGACCCTTGCAATCCCAGCTGGCATTGCAGCCAGTGTTCTGTAGCATGCAGGCTGGTCTGTGTGCACCTCT